CCCCAAAACCCCAAAACCCCAAAACCCCCTATCAAAAGAATATTAGCAAATATGATTAGAGTTAAATTTAAACTTAAAATTTCTGCAGATTATAATTTAAAATAGGGTATTTTTTACGCAGCCTAATCTCTCAAGTATCTAAATCTAACATCAGATGCAAAATTTAAATCAAATGAGCTTGGATCTTGGAGCTCCTTCCTATGATGAAGATATAGCAGAGCTCCGTAGAAATAAGTTTTTGACGAAAAAACACTCAATCCCAGAGAAGATGGAGTTATACAACAGCTCGACGAAGGGAAATCTAGAGGATCTAAGGAAAATAGTAGAGGAGAAGAACTATTCGCTGGTGGAAGAAGTTTCTAAAGCAGGATACTATTGGACAGTATTTCACTATGCATCTCATTATGGCCATGCGCAGGTGCTTTAGTACCTAATAGATCATTTTGAAGGGCATTAGGACTAGTTTGACATTTTCAATTTGCAGACTACTGAAGGGTAAGCATTTATTTCTCAAAATTATTTCAACTGTCCTTATCATTGTCTCACTTATATTAATTGCAAACGTTTAATTGAGAATATTCTCCTTAAATTATATACTTAAATCTTTTCAATAGGAAAACACCCCTATTTTGCGCAATATTGTCTGGGGACATTAAGTTAGAATAGAAGAAAGAGATCGTTAAGTTGTGGTTCGACACTTACAAAATTGATCTATCACTAAGAAAAAAGACAGGAGAAGACTTACTAGAGCTAGCTAAGAAGAATTAATTATACGAGTACATCATTTAGTACTGCATAAGGGAAGATTGAATCTAAATTATCTGAGATAGCATATGCCTAGCAGTTTTGAATTTACTAAGATAATTAGCTCAGGTATTTTAGAGAATAGGTATTATGCTTTAAAGAACCTTGTAAAATGTATTAAATGAGATTAATTCTGGACATCACTTACAATGAAAATGCAAGCAGTTACATTGATAATAATATATAATAGTATTGAAAACAAAAGATAGGTACTCAAAATCAAACAATCTTAATCTATTTGCTCTGCATAATCATTTGTGTTTGTTGTTAAGAATTTCTTCTCAATTATTTTAAATAATTTTTATGATTTTGCTATCTAATCTCAAACGTGATGATTCGGGGTTTTGGGGTTTTGGGGTTTTGGGG